AGGAAGATGAGGAGAAGGAGGAGCAGAGGGAGGAGGAGGAGGAGGAGGAGGAGGAGGAGGAGGAGGAGGAAGGAAGAGGAGGAGGAGGAGGAGGAGGAGGAGGAGGAGGAGGAGGAGGAGGACAATGAGATGTGCAGAGTACGCCTTGTTAGGGAGAAACTAATTGTCCAAGCACAACCATCCATTGAAGTACACCCAGGCAGGAGACGTCGGGTCAGTGCACGTACACCTCGCGAAATGGTTAAAAAGTCATGGGTTAAGAAAATCATGGTTTCGCGACTGCTGGTTTCGTAAATCTCATTCAGACATGTCCAGGGTCTGGCCCAGGGGCTCGGTACGTTCATGAATACATGCGACCGTGCACGATTGCGCGACGTGCTGCGTATGATTATGTAATGCGCACGGAGGCTGCGTTGACAAATATGGTGCGCGCATCTCCGGTCGGTCCTTAATCCGCCTCGTGGGGCCCAAGTGGGGCCCGGGCCAAATCCAAGCGGGTTCCGAGCCGAATCCAAGTGGGGCCCAAGTGGGGCCCGAGCCCAGACCAAGCGGGGCCCAGCCGAATCCAAGTGGGGCCCGAGCCAAATCCAAGTGGGGCCCGAGCCGAATCCAAGTGGGGCGCAAGTGGGGCCCGAGCCCATACCAAGTGGGGCCCGAGCCGAATCTAAGTGGGGCCGGGCCCGAGTGGGGCCCAAGCCCAAGCCGAATCCAAGTGGGGCCCGAGTGGGCCCCGAGCCCAACCCACGTGGGGCCCAGCCGAATCCAAGTGGGGCCCAAGTGGGGCCCGAGCCAACCCAAGTGGGGCCCAGCCGAATCCAAGCGGGGCCCAAGTGGGGCCCGAGCCAAATCCACGTTGGGCCCGAGCCGAATCCAAGTGGGGCGCTAGCGAGGCCCAAGTGGGACCCGAGTTGGGCGCTAGTGAGGCCCAAGTGGTGCCCAAGTGGGGCCCGAGCCGAATCCAAGTGGGGTCCAAGTGGGGCCCCAGCCGAATCCAAGTGGGGTCCAAGTGGGGCCCGAAACAAACCCAAGTGGGGCCCAGCCGAATCCAAGTTGGGCCCAAGTGGGGCCCGAGCCCAACCCAAGTGGGGCCCAGCCGAATCCAAGTGGGGCCCAAGTGGAGCCCGAGCCAAATCCAAGTGGGCCCAAGTGGGACCCGAGCCGAATCCAAGTGGGGCCCAAGTGGGGCCCGAGCCCAACCCGAGTGGGGTCCAGCCGAATCCAAGTGGGGCCCAAGTGGGACCCGAGCCGAATCCAAGTGGGGCCCAAGTGGGGCCCGAGCTGAAACCAAGTGGGGCCTAAGTGGAGCCCGAGCTCAACCCAAGTGGGGCCCAGCCGAATCCAAGTTGGGCCCAAGTGGGGCCCGAGCCCATGCCGAATCCAAGTGGGGCCCAAGTGGGGCCCGAGCCCAACCCAAGTGGGGCCCAGCCGAATCCAAGTGGGGCCCAAGTGGGGCCCGAGCCCAACCCAAGTGGGGCCCAGCCGAATCCAAGTGGGGCCCGAGCCCAACCCAAGTGGGGCCCAAGTGGGGCCCGAGCCCAACCCAAGCCCAAGTAGGGCCCAGCCGATTCTAAGTAGGGCCCAAGTGGGGCCCGAGCCAAACCCAAGTGGGGCCCGAGCGGGCGCCCACACGATCCCAGGAAAGCATCAAGTTCAAGAAATTCCCCCAGGGCCCGGTCAGCGCCGGTGGTTTCTTAAGCCGCGTGTCTAGGACAGGGAATCTCGAGACTCGGGCTGCAAAGCTGCGTTTTCTTAAGCTTTCGAGCGAGGTGTAGGCTCCCGCTGTCCCTTCCACCTGGGATGGATAACGAAAAAAAAGACCGAGCAGGAACGTTATGACCATACGTATATGCAAAGCATGTTGAAGGACAACACTGCGCAGCAACTTCCCGGGAAGAGCCAGCTGTTGTTACTCCGCCTCGCCCCTGCAGTCACACATAACTTGAAGACCAAAGGGGCGAAGGCGGGAGGTGTTGGGTCAGTGCGCAAAGGCTCCCACTGTCCCTGCCGCCTGGGATGGATGCCGAAGAAGAGGTGCAGGAAATAAACCCATAATGATATGCGCAGCAAGACAAAAGAAAATGCTGTGCAACTGCTCCCAGAAAGAAACACACCAAACATCGTTCGAAACTTGCTCCGTTTAGCCACTGGGATTCAACATCGTGGAGATTGACACAAGTTCAGCTGAGGTGAAATCGGCTAGATGCGGCTCTTATTCAATGATGTGCAAACACCACTGGTCATCGGGCAACCCCCAAGAGGGATCGCCTCCTCCACAGACAGCCCTACAAAACCAAAACAAAGACGAAGGAATGCTACCCAGGCCCCCTCAAGCGCCAACGCGGGGGCACGGAACCAGGAGTCCCATGGCAAGTGTGAGCCCAAATGCTTCCGGCGCGCGCCTAGGGCCCCCTGTGCTTAAGAGGAGGAGGAGGAGGAGGAGGAGGAGGAGGAGGAGGAGGAGGAGGAGGAGGAGGAGGAGGAGGAGGAGGAGGAGGAGAGGAGAGGAGGAGGAGGAGGAGGACGACGACGACGACGACGCCGCCCAACGCCCCCGACGCGCCCGACGCGCCGAGGCCGCCGCCGAAGTCGAGGAGCACCGGCAGCGCCGAGGGGGGCGCGCCGGCCGAGGCCCGGCGCAGCTGGCAGAGCACGTTGCCTGGGCAGGCCCCCCCCCAGACGGAAGGGAGGGAGGGAGGAGCGAGGAGGAGAGGAGGAGAGGAGCGAGGAGCGAGGAGCGAGGAGGAGGAGGAGGAGGAGGAGGAGGAGGAGGAGGAGGAGGAGGAGCCAGGAGCGAGGAGGAGGAGCGAGGAGCGAGGAGCGAGGAGCGAGGAGGAGGAGGAGGAGCGAGGAGGAGGAAGAGGAGAAAGAGGAGGATGAGGAGGCAGAGCACGTTGCTGGCTCGTGCCGCCTCTGCCGGTCCTCCTCGCTCGCTCGCTCGCGCGCGCGCCAACCTAACGGCCAACACGTCGGAGGCCCACACGAATGCGGTCTGAGGCGCCAGCCCGAGGACTAGCCCAAGGACTAACCTAAGGGCTAGCAGGTCCGAGGCGCTGACCTACGGGTTAACAGGTCCGAGGGCTAACTCGTCCGAGGCAATACGATTTCAACGTCGCTCGCTCGCTCGCTGACTGAAGTCGGCGCGGGGGCGAGAGGGCAGGCCAGCAAAGGGCACAGCAGGGAATCAGCTCGCGAGGCCGGTTTTCCTGGCGCCCCCTGGCGCCAGGAGGCGCCCATGCACCGAAGAATGGGCCCAGCGGTGGGGCAGAAACCAGCTGCATGCACCCCCCCCCCTTTCCTTTTCCCCCTGTTTCGTCCCGCCTGACTAGCGAAGGGCCAATAGGTTCGAATCCCATACTAATGGGAAGAGAGGAAAGGAGGAACCCCTAAAATTACAACGGCATGCCCCCAAACATGCACGTGCAGAGGAAGCATGCACGATTACAACGGCGCGCCCCCAAACATGCACGTGCAGAGGAAGGTAGGAAGGAAGGAAGGAAGGTGCACGGCGTACCCCCCAACGTGCATGTGAACGAACCTCCTCGCTCGCTTGGTAACCTACAGCCAGTCGGAATAATCAGGGTGCGCCGTAAGGATGCAAGAGCCTTGGGGTGCCAAGGCTCTTCGAGCGGGGCTGGCCATCCAAAGTGATCGAGGGTGGGCCGAAGATCACAGAAGAGGCGAGGGTGCAAGGGTACCCGTGGGAACTCGGTCATGATTTCTATGCGGGTTGAATGTGAGGGATAACAGGTTCGAAACCCTTACCGATAGGAAGAGAGAAAGGTGGATATAATACGATTACAACGGCCTGCCCCCTAACATGCACGTGCAAAAAAAAGAAGGATAATACACATATCACTCACCACCAATGTGTGCATTCAGCGGCCGCAACATGCTGGCCGTCAAAACAGCACCACTCCTCCTCTTCCTCGCGTCTTGATTAAATCACGACAGACAGCTGTTCGCTATTTTGGCCTCCAGGGGGCCACACGGGGCCCGGGGACCGTCAACAAACGACTCAGGATGAAAAGCCAATCCTCCTCCCTCCCTCCTCCTCCTCCTCCTCCTCCACCTCCTCCTCCTCCTCCTCCTCTTCCTTTTCCTCCTCCTCCTCCGCTCTCCTCCTTCCTCCTTCTCCTCCTCCTCCTCCTGATCCTCGTGTTCCACACACAGTGGCGGTGCCCAAAGAGAAAGTCGGTCTTGAGTAGCAGCTTCGCGGCGCGTGCTCATGGAAAAGAAGCCGGCCTTACAGAAAATCACATGTTCTCGGCGCGTCGACAGCCAACGAACATGTCACGACATTCGGCCCGCATATGCGTGCGGAAGCTGACGAAGAGGACGAGGAGGAAGGAACGAGGGAGGAGGAGGGGGAGGGGGAGGAGGGGGGCGAGGGAGGAGGAGGGGGAGGGAGGAGGGGGAGGGGGGAGGGACAAGCTAGGTGCGCTCGCGTCATATCTGACATCCTACCCCCCTCCCATCCCTTACCATGGCGCAGATCCCCTCTCTACTCGCACAGTCGGATGTCGAGCAGGGCAACGATCCCGAAAGGGTACGCGATGCATTGTAGAGCACGGCATGGCATGGCGTAGAAGAGCACCGCAAAGCGTAGTATCAACCTAGCATTGAATTGCACGCCGTGGCATGGCACGGGAAATGACGCCAGCGCTGCACGGGGAGCGCGAGTCGAAACGAGCGGAAGCGCGGAAATGAGGCCAGCGCTGCAGCGGGAGCACGATTCGGAACGAGCGGAAGCACGGAAATGAGGCCAGCGCTGCAGCGGGAGCACGATTCGGAACGAGCGGGGCCCGAAAATGAGGCCGGCGCCTCAGCGAGAGCAGCATTTTGAAAAAAATGCAGGCGAAAACCCAACTCCGGGGAAACCTGTGTAAAAAACAATACGCGGGGGGGGGTCGGACACTTTCAAGCCGTCATCTTTCAAACCGTCAAGGGGAGGGAGAGTAGTATTCATATTGAGTAATTTGAGGAGAGGAGGAGGGAGGAGGAGGAGGAGGAGGAGGAGGAGGAGTGAGGAGGAGGGGAGGAGGAGGAGGGGACGAGGAGGAAAAGGAGGGAGGAGGAGGTCGAGGGGGAGGAGGAGGAGGACGAGGAGTTATAGGAGGAGGACGAGGAGTTATAGGGGAGTAATTGTGGAGGAGGGGGAGGGGGAGGAGGGGGAGGGGGAGGGGGAGGAGGGGGAGGACGAGGCGAGGGGGGTCAAGGGCGCTGTGCGGAAGACCCCATCTGGCCCACACGGCCACGTATGTGATCCAAAAACGAACAGCCCATTCCAGAGGGGAAGAGGAGGGAGAGGAGGAGGAGGAGGAGGAGGAGGAGGAGAAGGGGCAGGACAAGGAGGAGGGATATTGGGCCGCGTAGAAGCCAACATCGGCTGCCACGCGCAAAGGCTGCCAAGCGCATCGGCTGCTGCTGGGAGGGGGGAGGAAACGGGAGGGGAGGAGACAGCACACAACCAAACGTACGACTTACAGTCAACCCGTATAGTAAGGACGCGCGATATTGATGCAATGGCCTCGGACGCCAATGCTTTTCGAGCGGGGCGCGGCCAACGAAAGTGGCCAGGGATGGGCCGAGGAGGCAAGGATGCAAAGGTGCACGGGCAGGTCGACCATCCTTGCTACGTGGGTTGACTGTACCCTTGGAACTTATCAGCTCCAAGCTGGCTGGCCTGAGGCCCGAGTGCGCGACCCATGGCAATGCGCAGATACTGAAACGAACTGGAACTACCGAGGAGCTGACCAGGCCCACGAATACCACGACCAGGACGCGGACGAGAGGGGCAAGGAGAGGAGGGATAATGAGGGGGAGGAGAGGGAGGGGGAGGCGGAGAAGGAAGAGGAGGAGGAGGAAGAGGAGGAGGAGGAGGAGGAGGGAGGGAGGGAGGGAGGGAGGGAGGGGGGAGGGACAAGCTAGGTGCGCTCGCGTCATATCTGACGTCCTACCCCTCCCTCCCATCCCTTACCATGGCGCTGATTTTCTCTATCCGCGGACGCGTGTCGTAGCGGACCTGTGGCTCCGCGCGCGCGTGCGTAGTGGGTGGTGGTGCGCGTGCGTGCGTGCGTGCGTGTGTGCGTGCTGGTGGGTGGTGGTGGTGGTGGTGGTGGTGGTGGTGGTGGTGGTGGTGGTGGTGGTGGTGGTGGTGGTGGTGGTGCTGGTGGTGGTGGTGGTGGTGTGGTGGTGGTGGTGTGTGTGGTGTGTGTGCGTGTGTGCGCGTGTGCGCGTGTGCTGTGGCATGGCACGGGAAATGACGCCAGCGCTGCAGCGGGAGCACGAGTCGAAACGGGCGGAAGCGCGGAAATGAGGCCAACGCTGCAGCGGGAGCACGATTCGGAACGAGCGGAAGCACGGAAATGAGGCCAGCGCTGCAGCGGGAGCACGATTCAGAACGAGCGGGGCCCGAAAATGAGGCCGGCGCCTCAGCGAGAGCAGCATTTTGGAAAAAATGCAGGCGAAAACCTAATTCTCGGGAATCCTGTGTGTAAAAAAACAGGACGCGGGGGGGGGTCGGCTACTTTCAGGCCGTCATCGGGGGAAGAGGGAGAGTAGTATTCATATTGAGTAATTGTGGAGGAGGAGGATGAGGAGGAGGAGTTGGTCCCCTGCCTCAATCCTTCCCTGTCCCGCTCTCTGCTTTCCATTGGCGCAGTCGTGTGACTGCCGCACCACATTACCCTCACTATACGATCGGCGGCACGCGAACGGGAGAATGCCATCCCTCGGCAGCATGAGCCGAGGGGTGGCTGATGACGGATCGGGCGAGAAGGGAGCCAACTGGGATGTCTGAAAGACACTTGCAGTCGGTCACGTGCCGAAACTCCTTCCCTGTCCCGCTCTCTATTTTCCATTGGCGCAGTCGTGTGACTGCCGCGCCAATGGGAAGCCAATGGGAAACAGAGAGGCCCGTCATCGGATATCCCTCAACAGAACTTACACCTCGTCCTCGGAAGCCTCGCATAAGGCTTCCGCCAGTACGCGCGGCACGAAGCTCGAGGCCGGCACGTAGGAGGTGACCGCGCGGCGCCGCCGCGAGGCCGTCGACTTCATGGATATCGATCGCGGCGCCATGCCAGAATGCATGCGAAGCTGCGCTGGAAGCTTCCACAGGTGGCTCGCCGATGGCCGCGAGGTCTGCGCGGAAACCGTCGATGAATTTGCCGTAGTATCTCGAGGGGAAGACCGCAACGTATTCGCCAAGATCGCCGGAGAGTAGCCCAGATGCCCACACGCGCGCGCACAATAGCGGGTCTGACTTGCAAATGCATTTTGTTCCCAACCATCCTGTGGTGTCGGGTCCTCGTTTTGAAGAGACGGTGCCCCGCGTCTCTCCTTCCTTGCTTCCTCCTCCCCCTCCTCCCTCCTCCCCCTCCGTGCGTCTGCTCTCGGCACACCTCTCACACGTTTCGTAGCCCCATAGGCAGCTCCACCGAAGGGGGGTCGGATGCGGTTCCCCCACCCAGGGCAGCGCTTCGTGTCCCCATAGGGAGCTCCGCCGATGACCCCAGTGGGGGGGTCGCATGCGGTTCCCCCACCCAGGGCAGCGCTTCGTGGCGCCATAGGGAGCTCCACCGATGGCCCCAGCGGGGGGGGTCGCATGCGGTTCACCTGCCCAGGGCAGCGTTTCGTGCCCCCATAAGAAGCTCCG